GATGCAGCGGGTAATGTTTCAAAAAAGAACTGTAGTACGTATGCAACTCTGCTTCCAGCTATAGATCAAGACTTGGTGAAAACCCATAAACATTCCGCGAGAGATTACCATCAACACGAGACTTAAGATCTCATTGATATAAAGATCGATTTATGTAATTGTGAATATTTAGCAGTATTTCTTAATACAAAGATTTAATCTCATAGAGAATATCATTAAAATTTTCATATATCCGATTTCCAATATGGTATTTCGTGTAAGTTCCATCGATATTCGTGTTACGAGAGTGAAGGTTGACGAAGCAAGATCAAACCGGATCCAACACGGGGGAGCGTATTCTGTAACTGGAGCAGACGGCTGGCTCGAATATCGCCCCTTATGTCGATTATAAGATTTTCTTTCCAATACCGCAACACCGCAGTTTCTCTTTTTTGTTACTGCACCTGCGATGTGGGACATTCTCGCTATTTATCGCGATAACAACCCTGATGCATATCATAACACTTTAATATATATCATATTTAAGATTAAACAAATATATTTAACTGAATCGAGATATATAATAGTTTACGACTATTTTATGTCTCATATCTGGGCTTCCAATGTTGTACTCAATTGTTGTTGGGGTTGCATTTTTTAAATTTATCTCAAGATATTTAGATATGTATGAATTTTTACCAATATAAGTATAACTTTGTTTTGGTGAACAGGGTATAAATTTCGAGAATCATCACGCAAACATTGTAATCGCTAAATCAAAAAATGGATTATAAATACAAATGTATAAACAGCAATTTCGCCACAACTTCAATATAAAATATAAGCGAAGTCGCCAATAAATATCCAGGTGAACATATCTGTTAGTATGTTATTAATTTATGTAGATACATACACGGGAGCGTAGTCATTGAATGCCACCGACAGGCTACTAGCGTGGGAACTCGAGCGGCCGTAGTGTCAAACTAACTCGACTACATTTCACTTCGGATTTCGACTCACTATAGTTAGTACGGGATCGTACAGACCACGACATTAGAGCCACGAATGGATTGTACATCCTTGTGTAGTTTGAGGTATGGCCCTCTCGAATTAGTTACAATTATTGTTAATTTGAATACTGAATATTCATACTCTAAGCTCGGGCGCGTTCAGAGGTGTCAGATAATGTAGATATGGTTTTTTATGGTGATTCATTCTGATATTAACCTTAAGTATCAGTAAAAAACATCCTTGCATCCATCTGTCCTCATCATAATATTGGATTGACTATTAATTGCCTACTGGCTACTACAACAACTAATCACTTCATGGCAAAGAATTCTGAGTAATTTGTTTAAAACAATACAAAACTTGTGGTTTAAAATTTTTAATAAAACAATATTTAAATGAATACTCGCAAAGGCTTACTCTCATTATGAAAACAATATTTTTACTATAAAAATCATTCCTGCAAGTTTTTAAAACAACTAACTTGCAACAATATTTAATAAAGATTAATATTATTAAATCACAACACTTTATAGATGAAAAAAGTCATAGTAAAAGCAATTTAATCCCAATGTTATATTATCCAAACATAATAACAATAAAGAAATATAATAGCTAAATAAAACTTCACGACATATAACTGTGTTGTTTTTGCTTGTACGAAAATAGAAATCGTGAATTGATATATCAAGTACCTTAACCTGCAAACGCAACGATTTGGCGTGAAAGTGTATGAAACACTCGTGTGAAAGAGATCAACAGCATGCCAGTGACCATCTTCGTAACAAATGTTAAAGTTTAAATGCCGCCGTTGTGACGAGTGACATCTCCATACACTGGTATTACTTATTCTTGACATCAACACTATTTATACATTTTATTTCGCATAGGAAACACGACAGCTATAAAATTTATTGTTGCGACTACTGACGCTCCGAGCAACATTTATATTAAATATATTAAGTAAAACAGCGATTCATACATAAATCACATTGACAATTGAAAATTTCGTTGCCAATCACGAGTTTCGAGCACCTGCGCTTGCACTTCGCTGACCCGTTTTTGAGAAGCGATGCCAAGCCAGTCATGTCTGTAAGTGCGCCAATTAGAGCGGTAGTATTGTCGTGGAGTATATCAGAGTTGGTAATCACCAACCGCCGTAATGCGTTCCGTACGGCGACACTATCGCTGCCATCGCGATTAAACCGTTAATTGTTGCTTATTTTTGAAATAAATACAATACAATTTTGTAGACATTCGATCACATTGGAAGTTAAATGGACGCATTGTGGATAGCGGCCTCTCTAACCCATGTTAATTAAGATAACGAGATATAGCCAGTAAACCTAAATTACGAACGCTATCCGAGGATTTTGTTTATTATTAGATTGCAAGATATTATAGCTAAGATTGTTCAAATTATAGTTCCATTCATTCTATCCAATTGTAGGTTATTGTTTAAAAGTAATTATCATTAATCACAAGAAAAAAAAACTGTATAAAATTATCATCAATGTGCCAAAGTGAACGAACAATTTATTAGATTAAAAAATACAATATTATGTTTGTGTTAGTAGCATTGCTTCAAATAAATATTTACATTCGTAATATAAAATTAAATTTTGTTATCGTACAAGAACTTAATGTCAGTGCGGTTCATTTTCTTATAATGTCCATGTCAAAGGTCAGGAGTTAGAAAACGGCCTAACATCGATTCAGTTACTTAATTTTTTTTGATTATCAAACTTATATAATTATTGAAATTATTATTTGAATATTAGTTTAATGTTAACACTTTTCCATTAACATACACAAATAATTTATTACGTAAAACTTCTGTTGGATTTCTTAAGTTAAGACGAATAATAAATAATAAGTAGATGTGTACGAAGTTAGTATAATGTTATAAAGTACTTTATATAGAATACATTTGTGTATGTGTGTGTCTGTGTATGTGTGTGTGTGAAAACGGAATGATTTTGTCGTGATCCAATTGAGAACCTGAGACTGCTATGTCACAATACTCGCCAGCCCACATGCTAGATAGTTAACAACCCCTTATTGGAATCGCGTATTAAAAACTATATAGATTGATTTATTAAACAGGTTTTATATATATAATATATTTAACTGTGATTTTAATATTTCATTTATATAGTCGTACTTAAGACACAATTATGTTATTATAATTTTATACGACATCGATTTAGTGTTATAGGGACTTTATAACTATTTATTATTCATATATATTTTATGTCCGATTTAATAAGAATATGAGATTGTTGATAATATCTATAAATATATTGTAAACTGTTTATCTGATCGTAAAGTTTATGCTCCATCGAAAACACGTAGTTTTTGTAAAGTTATTATTAAATGGTAATATGAATTTCACAAAAACGTGTCCTAATAATAGCTGGTCAGTCTTTTGACTATTTATAACTAATAAATGCCAAGCAATGCGTGCTGGAAATAAACATTTACTGAGTAATGTTTGTTGACACTTTAATGTCATGTTTGTGAACTACCAACACGCAATAAAAGCGTAACAGAATGAAGTGAATATAATAATATTTATTTGTTATAAAAGTTTTAAACTTTTCTTTCAAAGTCATATCTTTTTATTATATTTCTTATATCTATAAATTTTTACAATAATAAGATAGGGTTAGTGATAAAGATATACACTTTGCTCAGTTCTTATCATACTTGAGAGTAAAACTATATTAATCATAATTAGTAGCAAAGTTAAATTGCGACAACGCGTAATAATTAACCATAGATAGCAATTTCCTCTTGTAAAGATCAGGGGTCAAATGATAAATAATAACATGTTCTCACATGAGGTCACCGTCATGTTATAGAGGACTATGTGTGTAATTATAAACATTATATTAATACATCGGAAGACGAAATTATCAGAAATTAATAATAATTTATATGAATATTATAAAATTTTAGTCGACTTTTGTCATATAAATTTTGGAGAAATCTGTATACGTCATGTGTATTAAATCTTTACATATATTAATTGGTCGACGATCCCTTACATGATATAGTATTAATGGTCGATATTCATATGTGAACACTTTATAATTGTATCAGTTAACAGATGTAATTCTATACTTGTTGTTTCGGTTCGCGAGCTTGCTCTAATTCATCGTGTCATTTGACAGGCCTTTCTCATTTTACGTACTTTATATCAGTAAAAATATACAAAGTAAATAAGCATAAAAGCATTTTTACGATTTCATATTCAAAACAATTAGCATGATCAAGAATAGTGTGTACGTAATATGTAAATTACTTTCAAAATATCAAACATTTTACTTATATATTTGCAATAGTGCGGTGTGTTATATATGTTTTTTAGTGTTTCTTATAAACAATAATATCGTATTTTCGGTTAGCTCGCTAGCGTTACGTGATGGTTGCTCGACGTCGTTGCTGCGTGACTCGTTCGCCCTGGTTTAATACAGGATCTAAACACTACGACCAACTGATTAATTAAGCATTCAGATACGACTATGAAATATTTTTAATTTATAAATAGAATTAATTTGATGTATTTTAATTCATTAATTTATAGAATTTTAAAGACAATAAATATTAATCATACCGTTTCTTTTCTATTTCAGATACAAAGGGAAACATCCTTGGACTGTCATCAACATTTCTGAATTGACAATGGCATATATTTTCAAATATATTTCCTGTGCTAAAAGTTTAGCATATTGAGTCTTTCGTAAGCAGTGCACGGGTTTGGGGTGAATAATGGGAAAAAGGAACGCACGGATCAAGTTTGCACATTCCATTGGTCCGCCGAGAAAATTGAATGCCTTAGGAAGTTTCGAGTAGCACCCAAACCCACGCATCCACGCACTATTCAGTTACCGACGCTCTAGCGACTGCCAATAAAAGTACAAGTCATACCGGGTTATTATAACTCACTTATTTAAACGTAGTTTTACTTACTTAAGTACAAAGAAAACTGATCACTGACAACGGTAGTCATGACGGCCACTGCTCCTGAACTCTCAAAATCGGATTTTTTTGATTTTGTGACATCTAATGAAGTGACGGACGCTCAATACAAACAGCAAATGCGATCAGTCAACGTGTTCATGGAATCACCTGATTCAAGATCCAACCCTTTGTTATCAGAGGAGCCCAAGGAGCAAAACAACAACAACATACTTGCCGTCAGTGGTGGTCAGTCGACCAGCGCAAGTATGACGACCGCCGCCAGTTCGAATCCACTACAGAGTTTTGACTCTATTTGGAATGTAGATCGCGATCGCGACCGCATCGAGACAGCAATGTTAGAGGATCTCAACAAATACTACTGGAATCAAGAAAACGATATCAACGGAACCCACCCATGTTCCGATACAGCAATATCAAATAAATTAATAAGCAATAACACGGATGGACAAATATACACACTAACAGTTTTAAATCAAGACATTAATGAAACAAACACCAACCGCTATTGGGTGAAAGAGGAAGATGTTTCAATGTCAAGCCCCATAGACGTTGAACAAAATCCCTCCTTAGACCTGGAATCTATACTTAACATGAATGGTTTTCCAAACGATTTCAGTCAAGATACACTTAGTAGTAATATTCTGCCTAAAGTAGAAAACTTCAATTATGAAGATGGAGAATCGGAAACACAAACTACAGAATTAAGTTCAAACAACTTGGTCAAAATTGAACCATTCAATTACGATGACACTGAATTTCAGAGTAGTGATAAAAAAGATGATTCCATAATAAGCAACCCCACATTGTTAGAAGTGGAATATAATAATAATAACAACGACTGGAAATTAACTGACCAAAACACAGAATCAAACGAATCATTATTACGGAGTGCCTTACAAGGAAAAGCTTTTATTAGATATAGTACAATTCAAAAAAATACTGTTAATAAATTTGACACGGAATCGGAGCTAAAGAGGGCTATTATAAATAATAACAATAAACCAGATGTACCATCTATGTATCAGGATAACAAAGATACCGATTCTAGCCTTTTGATGGCCATAGCACCACCAAACGGTAATGTAAATATATCAATATTATTAGAAGAACCTTCTGCGACTGTCTTATCAAATGGAGATAATCCTACATCAACACAAAGCATGGACGATATTTTACTCTCCCAACTTGATGCTAGTTATCCCGATGACTATGAAAAATTGAAGCGGATAGCTACTGAACTAGGTGAATCAGTGCAACCCTTTTGTACTGTGGAGCCTATTGATTCCGTTCGTAATGTATACAATATTCATCATGTAAATGGGGAATTAGTAACTATGATTCCAGCAGGAGAAGTTCAGTTGCCTCAACACTTACAGATAGTAACGGCATCACCAACGGTAACGAGTACTAAGCCTGGGGGTAAGAAAATCAGAAGAATCCAAAATAAAAATTCACCCCCCACAACACAAACACAGTCGGGGACGGCTGTTCAAGCGGCGACATCAACTTCAAACGGTGTCCGAAAAGAACGGTCGCTACATTACTGCTCTATTTGTTCTAAAGGCTTTAAGGACAAATACTCTGTTAATGTGCACGTGAGAACTCACACCGGAGAGAAACCCTTTACATGTTCTTTATGCGGGAAAAGCTTTCGACAGAAGGCTCACCTCGCAAAACATTACCAGACACACATCGCACAAAAGAGCGCAGCTGCTAACGGTGGCTCTAAACCTTCGAAGAGGTAACCACAATCTCTGTCCTAGGCTGTTTGCATTGATTGTCAATAGAAATGACTGACTGTTAGCAAGTGTATTTTATATTCACATGTAAAGGCTGAAATATAACAGATGAATTTTTGGTAAGGTGCTAAATAAGTAATTAAGGCAGTTAAGGCAAGTGTAAAGAATGTTAAGTATTAAGATTCTCAGCCGTTATTATGCTTGTTAATTTGTGTGTAATTCCGCCCGTTACCGATTACTTGTAGCTTTAGATAGGTTTAGTTGTAGCATGTATATTTAAGTGTTTTTTTTTCGAGATTATTTAAACGAAACATTCCCTGCCTTACAACGTTTGTCTTACAATTTTTATGCACTACTTTGAGCTAAATGTGTATAATTAAGTTCTCTTTATTGCAAAAGTAAATTTGAAAAAAAAATTAAGTAATCTGATAAATCACCTACAATGATGAGCAAATTTAGGATTACGATTTAGATTGCTAGCTCTGTAATTTCTCCCGCAGCGCAACCGACTCCACTTTCTAAAAATAATGAAAAAAAAAGCAGAGTAAAAAGAACGAGCATTCTGTACCTACCAACTATCTTTCACCGTCGACTATAGTATACTTACTAGACAAGAGTTTTCGTCTTTTTTTTCCTCATGTCGATTCATGAATAGAGCCACTACAAAATAGAGACTGTCGTTTACAGCTTTCTCGGACACAGCGAGATATTTACGGTTGAGATTTTAAAACTCCGTTGTTGATTTCCATCAAAGAGATATATGTTTACTGTTGTGCACTATATCGGTAAATTTACTTTAATAGCCTTTTACAAAGTGGCAGTTACATAATTTTCTTCAGAAGCACGGTGAAGGGTAACTCATTCTAAAAATGAAACCTCTCGCCCGATATTGGGAGGGACCTGATTGCACTGAGATTGCTATTTTCAAATACAACTGGTGTTTCAATCGCTATCTTTAAAATTGTGCTCCCTTTCTCATCTAACAAATTGCCTTTCTTTGTTCCTTTAGTGCACGAAGAAAAGGTTCTGATATTTACGATAGCACCGCGTACCTATTATTAAATTAATGTATGATCAAATGTATTTACAGACAATCACTTTCAAAGCTATGTTATTTAAACTAATAACATTTTTAGAACAGTAATTATTTCTTTTTAATAATAATTCTTTCATTTATTGTTTTAAATTAATCTGCTATTCAAATACGAAGTAAATTTATTTAAGAACAAGTATTTGAATGCACACTTAAACAGGAATCTTTAGTTTTTATAACTGGTATGAAGTCGTGATACAGCAGTAATTGTATATCGATTTAGTGTCAAGCTGATAGCCTTATCTCATTTAGATTTTGTATTAAACTTTATATTATTATGACGTGGAAGAATAGCTCGATCTTTTATAGCATTAAAGTATATCAGTTTTATTGGCAGCGTAATGCCATGTTTAAGATAAATACATATCTGACTTGTATGGCGACGCGGAAACATCGACGCGTCCGGGAGAACAAGCCTTTAGCTTTTAAGTTTGTTAATTTTCAAAAGTGAGTCATAGTTGAGGTTATGCGGTGGAATACAAAAAATGAATGTAGATGCATTTTTATCGAAGCAATACTCTGTAATACTCAAAACATTTTACAAAACGTATTGGATAGTTTTTGATACTCATTTTTTAGCTGCGTTATTGAATCAGTTCGTCTTGCCGAGCAAATACTGATATATGTACCTATTTACTTTTAAGTAACGCATCACTGCCTTTTAAAGTTTCTATGAATGTCCTAAAGACTAATATACAAAAATAATATTTACTCTAACGTAAGACGTTGTATCTACATATATACATTTTTTTTTTACATTCTTTTATAATTTATTTTAAATGTAAACAGGTCTTGTACAATGAATTATTGATACTATTACAGGTTAAGCAATATTCAAATACGTTTAGATTTTTCTATATTACTGACAACAATTTTATTAAAATACATCATAGAAATAATATTATACATTTGATTTATTAAATCTATTTTGAACTATCGAAGATCCGTTGTAGGTACCTATATTATAAACCTAGATATAAAATCAGTAGAAAAATCATTTAACAATACTCATTATGTGTAATCAGTTTGTATGTAAAACGATCTGTTCGTTAACAGGGAAACTAATTTGTGAAGTAAATTTATGCTCTTGTATCTCATTAGATGGTATTTGAAATGTTAGCGAATTTATAGTTGTTATTATAAGCAGTAAGAAACTTATGAGAGATTTACCAATTAGTTATAAGAAACTATGGCTACCTTTATATTAAATACGATTGCATAAATGGTTGTTAATATATTCATGTAATATATTAAAATATGTTGGTTTATATGAACTTATTCGAAAGAGATTTTCAATTTGATCGATTATATTGCATTTGTTCCTGAGTTGATTTTTAGATTTTATTATTAATATCTTGTTTATAAGATGTCTATTATAATTGAGTAAGATGTAATTTAATTTTTATTTAGAAATTTTTTATCAAGGACGATGTGGATGTGGAATGGTAAGCGCGGTCAAAAGTGGCGCCATTTTGTAAATATTATTTTATTTATTTTGGCATTATTATTGTTGCTCAATTGCTAAATTTTATAAATCATTGTCCATTATCATTAAACTGAAGCCGTCCTGTAATATTTTTTTTTATTATTATTTATTGATAGAATTACGGTTAAGATGAAAATGAAAAAACGAAATGGTAATTTTATTTTGACTAACCCGAGCTGTGATTTTTGCTAATGTACGTCTAACGAAACAGTATCAGATGCAGATTTGTAAATTATAATAAAACTGTGAACACAACAGCTATTATAAGCTGCGGGCCGATTACATTAATTGTCAGTCTATCCAGGGCTAAATGTAGATAATTTGCAGACCGTTGTTTCAAACATATCATCCCGTTCGCTTACTACCGATAGCAGATTTCCTCGTATATCAACAAACTATCATCTGAGAGAGCACAATATAAATTATAAATGACGATGTTTAATGTAAGGTCTTCCAGTACGAGCTACATTCCATCATGTTTATCTTTTGCAGTATTTTTAATGTATGTAGTCTGTAGATCTTAAGACATATGTTATTGGTTTACATTAACATTTGTTTTAAGGAAGGCTATAATAATTTTATATCGTTATAAGACGTACAACTAAGTGAAACATAAATAATATAACTACATAAGTATTAACATAACAAAGATGCTGGATTCGCAATTCGTAATGCAAAAGATTGACATGATATTAGTACATACTATGTATCATCAATTTACATAATCTGGTCATAGTCTCAGTATCAATGTAAGCTTGCGTAACTTAATGAAAGTAGCTACCATAATTTTTTTTACACATATACAGTTTTTGTATTGAATTTCTTATATTTTTACTTTCCTACTTAAGTTTTGCTAATAAAATGTTTTTAAAATATGAACATTTCTTTCATTACTACTTCCTTGTTTAGGCGTACGTGTTTAAGTGCTTGATAAAAACGCTTGTTATTCTCGTGATTGTATCGTGTAGCTGTATGTTCTATACTTTGTTCTGACATTTAAAATAACCGGAACTCTTATTTACTGACCTATGCTATAAACGTAGGATTGGAGCACTAATCAAGTAGTATTTTCCTTGACGTAATACACAATCTTTAGATTGATAGATTATTACAAATATTGCCATTAATTTTCCAGTTTTACCTGCAATTTAAGATAGTTAAGAAACATTTAATAGGAATTCTTAATCATTTTCTTTGTTTCGTTGTATCTTGAAAAATAATAAGACTTAATGTTTAATCTTTGATTGGCACAATAAAACACCTTAAAACTTTTAAGTTGACATCAAATTTGGTTGCTTATTAATTTTATTAATAGAATACATACATTTTTATAAATAGATAATGTGAAAGTGAAAAATGTAAGGCTATTTTTGAACAGTAAATCATATAAAGTTTGTCAAAATAACTGTGGCGTTATTTTTTTTAAAACTTTATTGGATGCTCAAAATGCTTTAAATATATTGCTTTATGTATTACATACATATATTCTTACTCTTTGTCTACATACTTTCAAAAACTTCTCCAGACCACAGAAATATGCAGGTTATTTAAATAAAAAAGTCATACATCTTTGAAAACGTATCTAATGAGATTAGCAAACTTAATGAAACCTTACATAAAAATTTCTTATATGTCAAATACTACTGACAAAAAAAAATACCGCTACCAGTTATAACAACAACTACAAAATTAGGTTCTGTAGTTGTTTGGTGTAAATAACGCTGTACGTCCTAATACAATTGTGATAGAAGTAAGACAAGTAAACAAAAGACATATAAAACAGATAGCAGGTCTCTTTACTGGCATTGTTCCGAGGAGTACCATCGGTTGGCCACACGTCGTAATTAGCCCATTGTGGGCAGCGATGCTATCGACGCTTCCGATGGATTTACCTGCAGCTTTCCACTCATTGTTTACAGCTTCGATATATAATAGAAAAAAAAACCGTCTAAGTATTCAAGTTGTTTGTAATAAAATGTAAATTAACTTTCATCAGAATTGTTAGACTGGAATTTCACAACCGGTTTTTTTGTGCAATTAAAATTATATCAATTTTTTTTAACTATTTGTTTCATTGCTTCATGTTGGCTTTTTATATCTAAAAAACTGTATGAAAGCTTATTTTCTATAAAAGTTCGTGACGGAATCTTTTATAAAGAGAGAAGAAATGTATATAATATCAGTAGTTTCTATGCAGTGTTTGTATTACACACTTTTACGGTTTAATAAAGAGTAGATAATGCCAACACATTAAGTAAGTCAGTAAATTTTTACGCGAAAACTCACAAATTGTATCATGTATCCTTTTTGAGGTGGTATAGACTATAGACAGCAGACTTAAATAAATTAAAATTCATAAATTTCAACATCAAAAATATTGACAAACAAAATACATTTGTCTCTTGTGATAATTTTAATTGATTATAAATCAGCAACAGTTTCGCCACGAATTGACCATTGTAAGAAAATAAATCCTTCACCATAAAACAGACTGAGCTGCAATTTTAGCAACCGATATGTAAGTGTTAGCGATTTTATAATAACTAACAACAAAGGCTAACAACTTCGATGGTAACTTACATCTTGTAATCGCTCTTTCTCTTTCTGATAGTGCCTGAGATATTAGTTATCAAGAATACACCATGTCGTCCAACGTAAGTATACACTTAGGCTTTCTAGTTAACTAACAAGTAACAATCAATACTTCTACTAATGGTTGATAAATGAAATGTGAGAAAATTATTCGCAAGTAGCGAAGAAAACTAATCTTATATTCTGTATTGTGAAGGAAATAAATGTTAATTTAGGACGAGAGAATGATTGGACAGAACTCAAGAGTGCAAAAAGGAACTAGAACTTACAAATATTTGCTAAACATATGAACTGTCATTCGTGATTATAATGAAACACGCAAACTTTCTAACAACGATGTATTGCTAATTCTATTATAGGTTTAAATAGCTTCCGAGATGATATAAATTATATACTTACATACCTTTTAATATATGTGGAATACATCGATAGACTAAAGTTGTTTCGTATCATTTATTTGATTGCAATTTTATTTTAATAATAGTACATAAAATCTTAATGTCTCTATACATTGATATTCAATATATCGAGGCTTCATAAACTAATTTTATGCTTTCTAATAGTGTATGTATGTTTAAATGTAAGGCTTTCACATAAAATTAACTACCTAGTTCTGTCACCAAAAAAATCTTATAAATCGACTATCAAATGGGTAGTAGATGTTATGAAGCATCGTTGCAATAAACTGTTCGACTAGTAGTGGTGAAAGAAATATCCATCCTTCATTTCTGACACCAGTATACTTAACATTAGTTTGCATCATGACACTACATACGAATCATTTCCCGTTTTTCATCCATAAATCTTTTTCAATGTAGTATTAACAGAGGTTACTGAACGAGTGTATAAAATGGTTTGTATGTAATGTTAAGATGCAAACTAGTGCAGAACAAACAGAATTTAATCTTAATATACTATATAGGACCAAATGAAAAGGTCTTAAAAATATATATAACGAAATTTTACTTCGTATATTATTTTTATTCTTTATTTTATTTAATTTCTCACTTTCATAGTTGTCTTTAAATTTGTCAATATATTTTTTTAATATAAACTTAATTTTAAGAATCTTTTTATTGATGTTTTTCATTGGGCCAATAAAAAGATGTTCAAGTGTTTTATCAATTTAATAAGTAAATTAATAAATTAATTAAAAATTAGTCTTATTTGACCTACACGCTTTACTACAAGTAACAATTTAATAAATACATAATAGAAATATAAAAAGAGAGGACTTTTTAAAAATAACACTGTTTAAAAATTAAATTAAGCTAATTACTGTCACTGTTAATGTCAGTTCTTTGACAGACGTTTACTTCTTAGGGTCTCTGAACACTCCCATGAATAGAACGGAGTTTGTTGGCTTCTCATAAATAATATAAACGAATGGGAAATTGGCGATGAACACAGTGGGCTCCGCTGGTCTTGAGGAACGGAAGCCGAATATAGCTGTTGCTGCCGCCGCTACCGTACCTGGAAATAATAAGGAAATTTTTATAATAATTTACTACCACCTAAATTATGGCATAATTTGAAAAAGTATGTGTTGTATACAATATTGTAAGAAGCCAGGAAAGATGAAAACTATATTAAAATGATTAGTCGGCGTGACGCATGAAACTTCCGTTAAAATAATTACTTTATTTTGATGTATAACTTTTAATAAAATGCCTTAAATCTTTATAAATCAATATAAACAGTTTTAAATATTATTATCAATTATGTTTCTAACTACTTTTAAAAATACTTATATGCGAATGATAAATACACATAATATAATAAAAATTTAAAATAGTAGAACATTTTTTTCAAGCCTAGGATGATATTCTATAAATTCTATATCTATGTACATAGATATTGTCAAAAATATAATTAAAGGTTTTCGTAGTCAGTATATTTTAATATGTATTTTTTTAATATATCGATAGCAAGTTAACTGATATTTCATACAATTTAAGTAAACAGTATTTTCACATTTATTTCAGTTATGAACAGTTGTAAAGTTCGCAGTCAAATGTTTTATGTTAATTAATATCAATAAACCTTAATACGCCAGCTCCGTACAGCCGGTCATAACATTCGGAATAGATTGCTTTTGCTGAAATTACCTTCAAATTATAGGTACAAATTCCCCTTTAGTAAACCAACGACCATAGATAACCAATATCTTTTTCTATGCCCGTCATTAAAATATACGTTTGATGTGAAACTTTGTATTTCTCAATTGCATGTTATATTGTAAGTTTTGAATTATATGTTATAAAATATTACAAAACAATATATATAATTAGTTAAATGGGAGCGTTATGTCTTTAAAGTTATATTTGTTTTGACATTATGCTGTCATCTTTACCTTTATATTGTATGAGTATTGCATTATAGTTTCGTTATAATCATCAATATTAATTAAAGGGCTGGCAATATTTCATAATACCAAAGCTTAAATACAAAGTATGATAATGTATAATGTAATGTAAGTATTCTCGAATTAACTCTCACCGTCTATTAAAGAAGTAGTTTTTAGTGATGATGAAATAACTCATTTAAGCTATTTATGTTGTATTTTAATAACCCTGTTGATTTTAAGTTTGAATCCATCGATTTTTAGATATAATACATAAACTGTATGGATTTTTTTTCTCCTTAGAATTCATTATAGAAATCAAAAAAATATATATATAGGTATATATAAGATTTTCACGAGCACACATTTAGAGTGGAACCACATATGTTTTTCGGTTGTACTACGCGTTCGAAAACTTCCTGGCATTTCTATTATTTTACAGCAATCATGATCACAGGTACGCAAGACAAATGTCTAATAGAAAAATTTGTTGGATCCTATATTTAATCTCTATTCCATAGAGATTCAATTCTGCTTAGAAACTTTCAAATTTCAAATTTATTTATTTCAAAAGTTATTTTACACATTTTATACATTTATTGCTTCAATACCATTTACTTTATATACTTAAGTTTAAATTTACAGGAACGTAACATTGTTATACATGTAAAAAAATATTGATTGTGTAAAACATGATTGTTATATGATATTAAACCCTTTATCATGTTTAAAGCTGCAAAAAGAAAAATATTCTGCATCTCACCTTCTTCGTCGACTTGTATTTTAGCTTTGTGGACGGCGTCATCAAAAACAATACCACGATCTTCCGTCATGGTGCTGAAGTCTGAGCTCGCGTTAAACAAGTCGCCAACACCCAGCCTTTCTAATATCTACGAAATAAAGAACATAATTAAATATAAGCTTACAAAAAATCACAATATACTAGCAACTGGGCAACAGCACAAAATCCTTCTTGATCTTGCAGTATCGCTTTGTTCTTGCATTTGGGCAACACTTATATTCTTCATTTGGGAATCTTTTATAGGTATATTTGTGCTTATATAATAATAATCAATGCTAATCACAAAGTAATGTGGATAATAGGCTGGAATAATAATTATCATGTACAAGACAATGTAATATTTAACAACATTCCTAACATATTTAGATACTTATATCACTGTAACCAATTTATTATAAATTCATTATTATGAATATATTATCATTAAAGAAATCTAAGAAATTTTATATATAACGGTATTAAATAGCCAAGATGCATATTAATAAGGATATTAAATATTCACAGATATTTTACATAAGTTTTTCTGTAATCGAATCACGAGATGACATTAATATAATAATTTAATTTATTTAACTCGTGCCACATTTAGATATTCTGATAAGAAATTTATATTTTATTATTATATATTATGGACTTTGAAGCATCATTAATTTACATCAATTCATTTGAAATACACAAATGCAGATAAGTGTTAAGACAACGAAAAGTCAGAAATTATCAAATTACATTAAAATTTAAATAATAGTTTAAATATTTTATTCTTCTTAGAAATTATATGATGTAATGGACTGAATTTGTATTTTAATAGGTAAATTTATAATAATATTATATCTTAAATACTTTAAAATAATATGATACGGTACCGGTCTAAGTTGTAGACTTCTTTCAATCGTAAATTTGGGAATTTCGACCACAACCTCCCTTCCTAGATAACCTTCTTCAACAACGGCAGCCAATCTCTCCGGCGTCAAATTTGCTATAATGTTGTTAACTCCTGAAAATTTCATTAACGATATGAATCATGAATCATTATATTACATATATGTATATACAATACAATAGCCAAAACCACACATTGACACGTAACTGTATTTAAAATAATAATATATTTCTAGTTATTGCTGATTGTCCCAACAATAAAACTTCAAACATTGTATCAGTAAAAAACTTGTGTGCGGAATTTTTATGACATGCGTTGAAGTAAATATTATAAATCGTTTCATTAAAGCAGAAAAATTGTTATTGATTTTGATACAAGGAAATCTTATTGTAAAGAATATAATTCCAACTGGCCCACGAAACTGTGTCATTCAAAGTGGAATTTTAGGTCAGATTTGACCACGAGCAATGTCAAAATTAATTGATAGTTGATCTACATGTTACGCTGCAATTAATAATAAGCTACATTTTATTTATTAAGGCAGTTCATTTGATTCATGACTCTCGACTTTGATTGACGTTGACGGATCTTAACAGAAAGGTATCTTTAAAATGTGATGTGATCTTTGAAGGAAACCTAATTAATATTGTCAGTCTACGTAACAATGGAAGTTCGATATAATTACGTTTTTAAATGTTAAAATTTTAATCATATTTAGAGGTATAAAACCTGTAACGGGCCAAAGATTTCATACTTTTTTCAATCATTTTCTTAACTGACATTTATTATTCTTATATTTTACTAAGTGTGATATTTATAAGGATTTGCTAAATAAATTCAATTGTATGAACTAACCTTCCTTCATAGAGTAGGGCGGCAATAAGATATACATGCTGATGTCATTGCCCTTGTAAGGCAATTCCAGGATCTGTGCTCCGAGCTCGTCGTTCACCACTGATAAAATAAAATTAAACAATTTTAAACATTATGGCTTTTGACTTAAGGTTTAGTTTTAGTTGTTCAAAATAGATTTTTAAACAACAACAGTTTGTTAGTGGAAGTTATATAAATTATTTATACATAAGCGTTTAAATAAACCTTTGTTGAATTATAAATAGTTATTGGAATACAATTGTGAACAGGTATGACTAATAAAAAAATATGTATAATGTGCATATCGTCATGCATATGTCATGGGCAATAAAATCAGTATGTACGTTTTATATTTTAATGCAAAATAAAATTAACAGGTCTAAAGTGTATTGTTATTTTACTCACTAAAGTGGAATTGTCCTTTTTGTCTCATAAAATGTGTGAGGGTCTGACGGGTTTCTGAGACGAAGAATACTTGTTTTTTGGTGCTTTGAGCTTGGAATTTCGATGCCCAGACACCCTTGAAGTAAGCTGCGTTGGCGAGGACAAGCTTGGTTGCTTGAGAAACGCTTTCAGGAGGAATGAGGTCTTTGATATTGTTTTTGGTGACGTGGGCCACCCACTCGTTTATATGTCCTAGAGCAACTCCGGGATGGTCGTGGAAATTCTGAAATACATAACATTTTAAAATCAGTCGTATGTTGTGACATGAAAACATATTTATTTTTCAAAAGTTTGATATCTGGACTTGGACAAAATGCTGAAATGATATATTCTACGTTAACAGCAACTTTTGTAGAGTAAATAAAATTTTGTATGTTATGCTATTCTAGAAAATGAGATGAAACTGGCTTTCTTTACATTTCATACTTTTAAATGTCATGCTGATCAAAAAATATAAGAAAATACAGTTGCAGTTTATTAATTATGGTAAATTACCAAAGTTTGCTATAAATCTCGTAGTTATTTTAGTGTAATTTAACTTACCAGGCCAAATAATTCACCACCAAAGGCTTCTTTGAAGCATTCTCTGACTTGTAGCGCTGTGTCAACGAACATCTTATTGGCGTTTGTGAACTCATAGCTGTCACTGTTGTTGTTAACGGCCCGCAAACGTTTGTCCACTTTGTATGCCATCAACAGGTTCACCTTGTCCTGTAATGACATGAATATCTGATTAACAACGTGTTCTGTGCATTCTTTATTGAAGTTTTACTTATGTCATACCGACTTCTTCATTGATAGCGTTTAAAGTTATGATTTACCTGCGTGTCAGCGATGCGCAGTGATTCTTTCAGTGCTTTCTCTGTTTGGCCACCAGCAGCAAAATATCCCAGAAGTAAGGCGTGGTATACGGAGAAAGGTGAGAAGAATACGTTATCGTTAGGAACAGCCTCGTTGATCACATTGAAGAGATTTAATGTGAACTCCAACTGATTTTTATACAATGTCGCTCTCGCCTCCGCGTTTAGTTTCTTTGAAGCGTCATCTTTGTAAAAGCATTGACTGTTCACTGTAGTTGAAAACCCGAGTAACAATATAACTCCGTATCTCAGCATTTTCTGTAAAAATATAACGTTTTAGTTATAAGTTTGCACAAAATCTACGTATACTTTTATTGAAGTGATGATTTTAAACGGACAGATAATAAATAACTGTTTAACACAACCGACGGTTCATAATAATTGTAAATATGCCGTTTGGAGACGGAGTTCATCACAAAGATCTTTTCACCGTCACTTTCTACGCGTCATGGAGGGGGGAATGCAGTCATGAGAGGGCATTCCTTATGACCGTGACGTACATTAAAGCCTTATTGATTTCATACTTATAATAATGCAAAATTGAAAAATTATGAATTAATCAATATAATTCACTGAAGCGAGTAGATTATTAGTTGAAAGTTAGCGATTGAAAAGTTGTTAGATTTCTATCTGTCCTCGTTAACCTAACGTATGCTTGCGACATATCCCGGTTCTTTTAAAACGTAAAGGTCAATTAGTGACATCTGGGTTTGTGGCAGATTCGTCACGATTTCTCACCACATAATCGTGTCAGCCCTGAACACGATATGGGAAATCCCAGAATTTAATTAACTTAGCCGTGTAACTGGCATGAAGAGGAAAGAATTAGATTGAAATCAGTTCACGTTTCAGTCAAAATAATTCATTAATCATCGACATTTGAATTCCTTAAGCATCACGTATTAATATAATTAATTAATAATACTGTATGAACTCAACAGGAAGATACTTATAAATATTTCGATATATAAAATTTATTAATACATTTCCTGTTATTCAGAGTGATTAGAAGAAATATATATTGTTTATTATTTTACATACAGAACATTAATAAGCGTGGAAAACGTACATGTTAGGACATTATAACAAAAAGAGAATTGAAAAGTGGAACACGATTGTGGCAATCTTTAATGTCCGAATGACGCATTCGAGAGGAAATCCCGCCATTCTCGGACAATAGCCGAACATAATGCACGGATTTCCCTTTGTTTAGAGCGGAGAAAGTCAACCGCGTCATTATAATTCGTTGCACAATCGTGATAACAAACGTGTGATATTTCCAGTAAAATACTAATAACTTGATTCATCTCACCCACTATTATATAATCTAAGTCAGTTCCTACAAACGTATAAAGGAAAAAGAATTTGACATGAATTACTTCATTTAAACGCTCGTTTCCATGAAATAAATTATTGCTTGACCCTTAACGGGACATGTTTATTACATATAAGAAATATATATATTTTTATCGACATTCGACGAGACCGTTAAAAATAAACCGTTGCATACGCGGTAAATGTTCAACTCAGGAGTTAAAACGACGTATTCAAATAACAGTTTTTCATATTTTATAATCTTATTAGTTACCAAGCATCAATCAATCAAATGCATACAGATTAAGTCACGACGAACTGTTAAAATGAAAGTCTAAATACGATTATAAATTACGATTCCCTAAATAGCGTTTAAACTAAAATTATATCATCATTACTGAGATTTATTATCATGGTTAAACGATCATTACAAACGACCTCTAATTTTTACAATTTTAAGCCTTCCGTAACATAACTTGAATAGCATGCACGCATTACAAAGCTGTAATGGTTTTAAAATCGCCATTGAAACTAACACAATGCCTGGTGTAAAGCGACCTTATACTAACACCTAGCGGTACATAAAATTGTTCTATTTAATATCTATACAATAATCTCTTAAATAAATAAAACTATAACTTACAAAATTATTTTTGCTTTATGCGTCAATTAATTTAGAATCTAAAACACGGAATTTTAAATGTTACTCATACTTAAAAATCCATGTTTTAAATTGTAAGTTAAATAAATATTACATTAAATAACTATACATTAATTATTAGATATGTAAGGTGAAACTCGCAATTATATCAGGAATATTAAACATTAAATACTGAACCAAAAAACTAAAACAATTGTTTTCAAATTTTTATTTTAGTGTAAAGTATTTTCAACTTAAATATAGATACAAAAAAACAAGCAAAATAAAAATTTAATGATTGTTGTGATGAATGAAACTAACAAATATGCAAACCATTTGAAAATTTTCAAATAATTAAAAGTTTTATAACATAATATAACACAAGTATTTTATGTATTGTATGTAAAATTTAAAAGCAGAAATGGAAATAATTTACCCCTTCTAACCATTTTGTATAACCTTTAAATTTTTTGTGTATAATTTCTGCACTTTCACAACATAAAAAATACTGAAATGAGATGTGCAATTAAGAAATAAAAAGAAATCTTTTATTTAATTATTTTAGGGTTCCGTAAGCAAATCGCCAATCAAACGTTTAGGGGTTAACGAAATTGTTGGTTTGTTTCTTTATCAAGATCTCTGCTCGAAAAGTGTGTAAGTTTCAGGATAAATACTGTTTTAATCAGTTAGTTATTTAAACTGTTACAATCTGAGAAGTTAAAGAATTATACCGTTACAAACTAACACTAGTAAGTAAAGAAAATTATTTAGAAAGTAACAAGATATCTTATCTATAGAAAGCTTTCTATGGAGTTAGTATCCTTAAATTTTGTATGAAAAGTCCTGTAATTTTTTTATACATTTGTTTGTTGGTGATCAGTCAGTAGTTACTTATGTAGCAAACTGTTGTGAATCAGTAACAAAAATCTATATCGTTCTAAGGAGACAACAATATTCCGGTGAAACTTTTGAAATTGCTCACCAGTTTTACATACTTATATCTCCCCATTTATTTTTTGTTTCAATGATACAAAATAGGGAGAATTATAATTTAAGGTTGCATTACATGCAAAACCATATAGTATAAGAATGTTGAAACACATATACATACGCAAAAGACACACCAAACGAGGTTAGTCCGGTTGTATTTATATATTGAGTAAACGAGGCCAAGTGTTCTTGTAACATAACACTTGCATAAGGGTTCTGTCATACAATGAAACGCTAACGGCATAACAAGTAGCTATAAATCAGCAAAACACCAGTTATTGTAAACAAATAATAACTTTATATCATTATTTATTTGTAATTATCATAGTGTTTATTCACAACCACCATTTCTCCATTATGTACAAGCCGATAAGCAATAATGATTCCGCGAAGTGATTATATTATCTATATGGCTTTTTAATTACGCTATTCTCATAAAACATCAACTTTTAAATGATTTAATTGCGATTTTTCACTAAGCAACTAAACTTAAATAAATAATTAAATTGTGAAGACAATTCGACTTTGTGATCTAAATATAATGCGCTGTTTTCGACAAAGTGCTTATAAAAAATTCTCAATTATTTATAAACATATAATTAAACAAAGTATGTGACTTAGTTCAACACTTTGTTTTGTTTGAAAATATCTTAACAACAATAAATAGACACCATTTAACAGAAATAACTAAATTGACCAAAATCGTTGACGTTTTATTATCAACCTTAAACCGTGATCTTCGATCAACTCTGGTCTCTCATGATTGTAAAGCCCTAGTCTTATAATCAATCACTTATGGATTTGAATCAAATGCTTGTTGAATTTTGATCAATCTTGGTATTGTTTGTTTAAAAAAACATTGCTAGTTTCAAGTTTAATTATTAACACTAGCCGTGCCCATGACTTATGCAGAGTAGTTATTCTTTTGAATTTTATATTAATAAAATTACCTTAACTTACTATCACACTAAATGCAGCCATTTGTGAGTTTAGTTTTAATAAACAGACCGAGAGACTAAAATCTTAATAAATTTGGTACATAATGTACCGAATACACATCCATATAAATTAAAAGTGATTATATTTGACACTACAAATTATTAGCAAGAATTGTAAATCAGATTTGTAAATCGATGTCTATCTTTGAGCGTTTTTTGGCAGAAAATCAGAATTTAAAACCCTTGTTGGCTTTAAATGAAAACCCAATGTTAGCTTTAAATGCAAATCCGACGAAAATTCACTGGGTAAGGTCGATACTCGATAGCAAATACTATTATTTGTGTCTTTATGCCAACTGCGAACATCATTAGATCATTAGAAGCTATCTACTTCTTGATACTTTCAAAAAAATATTCGTGTCAATTTTATTAATTGAAAGAAAATAATTATCTTCGAAAGTATCAAACTATTAAATATGACATATAAATGATTCATTCATACAAAACATTTTTTTTTATTGTAACTCATCTACAATTTTACGAATATTAGTTACTAATAGTTTTATTGTAGACTCCAATGCAGTTTCTAAATTTTAAAAAAGAAATAATTTTTATAAGCATTTTTAATAAATATAAATGAAGATGAATGAATACATTTAAAGGAGTCCTGTTATAGAAATGATGTAGTTCTAGTGAACCCGTCTTCCAATCGGCTAGACGTTATAAATTATTTTTATATATTTTTTTATTGGTAACTCTACCCCCAACCAACCAAAAACATTCTTAAGATACTCATGCACTATGGTTACAAAAATATACCCACAATGATTTGTTACTATAATAGCGAAAATAACAACACATACTACAAAATAATAGGGGTGATTAAAATAAAAAAAATCGTTACTAATTGTATCATAACATTACAGCTAATCATGAAGTTTTATTATCATATAATGCATTGTTTACGTATGCGCATACGGTAATTTGTGTCGTAACAAAACAGAATTCGTCATAGTAAATTAGAAAGTGTGTAAGTATGTGCGTACACATATTGTACAGATCAGTTAACACCTTGAAATAAGTTTTTACATCACGCTCAATTGTTATTTTAATAAGATTTTTCTTATTTATTTATTACAATTAATGTCAATACATTTTTAAAAGTTTTCATTCCACAATACCCACATAGAATATTTATGTTTTAGAATTCAAAGAAATAAATATCAAAGTTTCAATACGTAACATCGTTTCTTGACCAAGCGGTATGTGACGACACTATAAATATTTATGTATTTTTTATATAAAAAACTGGACTCACCGTGAGAATGACGTCCTTAAAAATCAGTGCTGTCGTGTTCACCGAAACAAAATTA